GAGACCAGCCTGGCCAACATGGTGAAACCCCATCTCTAATAAAAATACAAAATTTAGCCAGGTGTGGTGGTGCATGCCTGTAGTCCCAGCTACTCAAATAGCTGGAACCTGGAAGACAGAGGTTGCAGTAAGCCGAGATCATGTCACTGCACTCCAGCCTGGGCAACGTCTGTCTCAAGAAAGAAAAGAAAGAAAGAAAGAGAAAGAAAGAAGAAAGAAAGAAAGAAAGAAAGAAAGAAAGAAAGAAAGAAAGAAAGAAAGAGAGAGAGAAAGAAAGGAAGGAAGGAAGGAAGGAAGGAAATAGCATTTGACTGGGCCTTGAAGGATGGCTAGAATTTTGACAGGGGGAGAGGGGAAGATGGCATTGTAGGTAGAGGGACAGATGAGCAAAGGCCCGAAGGTAAGGAGGTGTCAGAGGTCCACTGTGACCACAGCACCCAGAAGCGCAGGTGAGCCAAGGAGGGTGAGGTGGGGAGGCGAGCAGAGGAGAGCCGTGGGCTGAGCTTCTGTGTGCCTGGTAGAGAAGTTTGAAACAAAGTCGGGAATCAAAAGGGAAGGTCCTGTAGAGATTTTGAGCTGAGCAATAACTTGAAGAAGCTCTGCATTCAGTCTAAAACATTTATTGAATACCCACCATGTACATACAAGGTCTTGGCCGGGTGCGGTGGCTCACGCCTCTAATCCCAGCTCTTTGAGAGGCTGAGGCGGGCACATCATGATGTCAGGAGTTCAAGACCAGCCTGGCCAACATGGTGAAACCCCATTTCTACTAAAAATACAAAAAAATTTGGCTGGGTGTGGTGGTATACGCCTGTAATCCCAGCTACTCAGGAGGCTGAGGCAGGAGAATCGCTTGAGCCTGGGAGGCTGAGGTTGCAGTGAACCAAGATCGTGCCCTTGCACTCCAGCTTGGGCAACAAGAATGAAACTCTATCTCAAAAAAAAAAAAAAAAAGTATCATCCTGGGCATTGGAGACTGAGATGACCAAGATGCAGCTCTTCCCCTTGAGATAAAGGTTAGCAGGGGCCAAGCCTGGAAGAAAGAAATTTGATGCAGTCTGGCAAGATTCAAATAGGGGCGCCTTCCACCGTGATGGGAATAAAAAGGCGGAAGCGATGAAATCTGCCTGAGAGGTGAAGGGGAAGGATTCCCAGAGAAAGTTACATTCGGACTGGGTGTTGAAGTTTGTATGTGCAGATTAGAGTTGATGGGCTTTTCAAGTCAAAGGAATAGCACAAATAAAGGCGAGGGAGCTGTGTGCACACAGCCTGCCACGTGTGGATGTGTTTCTGCACCTGTATGGGTCTGGTAAGGGTGAGGGGTGGACTTCAGCTCTGTGGAAAGATGTGGAAGGCGTGAGTACGCCCCAAGGGAGGATTTCCTATTGGAGTGTAACAGCCCAGGGGAGGCATGGTTTTTCTAATTTGCTCAAAGATATAACACAGTGGTGGCCTGTGTTCCTGGATTTGGGGATGGGGCCAAAGTGTTTTAGGAAGGCTGATTTTCAGGCAGAGCGTACAGGTCCAGTTTAGGCATTACCACTAGTTGAACATTAAACAGTTGCCAAGTAGCGGCTGCGTGCCAGGTTCTTGGTGTGGGGACCTGGGGGTAAGAAAGACCACACAGCCCTTGTGCTCAAGGAACTCAAGGTCCCCACAGAGAGGACACTGCTTAATAGAACAAACGCTGTCCTTAATGTTTTCCTCACAAGTAAACCCTGCAGGGAGATTCACAGGTCAGGGCTGATTTATCCAGCGGGTACTAGGGATAACAGCAATGCATGGAAATCTCCAAGATTTTCAAGGATCTCAAAAATGTTTGAGACCTGAGAAAATGTTCTGGGATCCAAAATTTGAACAACAGATCAGGCATATTGGCACATGGCTGTCATCCCAGCATTTTGGGAGGCCGAGGTGGGAGGATCACTTGAGCCAGGGAGTTCAAGACCAGCCTGGGCAATATAGTAAGACCCTGTGTCTACAAAAAATAATAATAAAAAAACAGCCAGGCATGGTGGCTTGTACCTGTGGACCTAGCTACTCAGGAGGCTGAGGTGGGAGGATCACTTGAGCCCAG